GTGTGTGTGTGTGTGTGTGTGTGTGTGTGTGTGTGGAGAAGCCTGATTTCTCATAAAACCCTATAGACACAGATCCTGTTTAAGCCTTCTCTATTAAATTTGAAGTCATTTTGGATCTTGTGGCACATTCTTGTGAGAGCGGGGAATTTAGAGGTTCTGTTCACGTCTTTCATCTGCACACAGACGTTAAGTGGCTCAACCACACCTAATTAGCCTCATCTCTACGGCACATTGCAGCCTTTTGAAAATAATCTTCTCAGGTTAATTCCCGGCGCCCTCTCCACTGTCTCTGCCAAAAGGTCACATTTATTCTCTGCTGAGAAACGACTTGGTTAAAAAGAGGAATCCTGCATGCAGCCACAGCTAATGAACTTGATTAATTAAAGAGAGACTCTCCCTAATTAAGGTCATATTCTACTTGGTCCAGCTAGGACCTTTTTATAAATAATATTGTGACACTAATGAGACGTTTCCCAAACAGCATCAGAGTTCACTTTGTGTGGTTGCAATGATTCATGTGAGAGGTTTACAATCAGATCAGCATGATGAACTTCCTCCTTACAGACCAATTAAAAGGATTGTTTGGAACCATTCTTTCTTAGTAACATGATTGGTTTTTTTTCCCTGTCTTTGGTCTCGCAGGTCAATGGTAAGGATCTCTCCAAGGCCACCCACGAACAGGCAGTGGAGGCGTTCCGCACCGCCAAGGAGCCCATCATGGTTCAGGTTCTGCGCCGGGCCCCTTACCCCAAACTGGTCAGTCCTGCTGCAGACATCCAGGTGTCAGACATGGGCACGCAGACAGACATCACCCTGCAGCACATCACGGCTCTTAGCAATATGCCTGCGTCCTCACCGCCAATGACAGAGCTGGAAGAGTATCTGCTGCCGGACGAGTGAGTACTGTCTCACCTAATGGGAAGTACAGTAACAAAAACTGTTCTTTGTGAAATACTGCTTTTATATGTTGTTAACTCTTACTGCACTTGGGGCCTGTTGATGGTGAAAATGGGAAAAGCCTGACCAATCAGAGGAAACACCCCTCTCTCTTTACACTTCACTGACTGTTTCTGGTTTATCTGTAACTTATTATCCATGCTTATTGTCTGTGCATTCACATAAAACTATAATTAATTCCATTTAAGTTTTAAGGAAACACTATACTTCTAGAGTCAGTTGCCGTAATTTGACTCCTCTGATTCATGTGAGGTGAAGCCTGATGGTTCACATACATAAGTTCTGAAACTGTAGTCATAGAATGAAAACTTTCTCAACCAGCGCAAGATCATCCTTCAAGAYGCTGCGCTGCCTGACAAGATCTTTGAACTCTGACGCCCTCAATGTCTGGAAGACTGCTTAGTGATTTTTTATATTTATTTTCTTCCCCTGTCAGTTGTTAAAATGAAAGACAAAGCTGTTGTTGTGGCAATGTTCCAGTCTGTCGTTTTCAGAATCAGCTTTAAACTGTTTCTGTCTCTCACGAGTCTTTATCTGAAACCATCCAAAATATGTAGGATCATCTTSATTAATTCGAAGTGATGTACATCAAAGAAGTTCAGCCAAGCTCAAAGTCTAGCCGATGTCTGACCACAGATGCAAAAAGCATGGCTTATATTGTATGGCATGGTATGAGGGCCAAAATTAAGAATATTGCACAACCAGCTGTTGCTACATCCTTGTAGCATGAGGCTATACACTCACCGGCCACTTTATTAGGTACACCTGTCCAACTGCTCGTTAACACTTTCTAATCAGCCAATCACATGGCGGCAACTCAGTGCATTTAGGCATGTAGACATGGTCAAGACAATCTCCTGCAGTTCAAACCGAGCATCAGTATGGGGAAGAAAGGTGATTTGAGTGCCTTTGAACGTGGCATGGTTGTTGGTGCCAGAAGGGCTGGTCTGAGTATTTCAGAAACTGCTGATCTACTGGGATTTTCACGTACAACCATCTCTAGGGTTTACAGAGAATGGTCCGAAAAAGAAAAAACATCCAGTGAGCGGCAGTCCTGTGGGCGRAAATGCCTTGTTGATGCCAGAGGTCAGAGGAGAATGGGCAGACTGGTTCGAGTTGATAGAAAGGCAACAGTGACTCAAATAACCACCCGTTACAACCAAGGTAGGCAGAAGAGCATCTCTGAACACACAACATGTCGAACTTTGAGGCAGATGGGCTTCAGCAGCAGAAGACCACACCGGGTGCCACTCCTTTCAGCTAAGAACAGGAAACTGAGGCTACAATTTGCACAAGCTCATCGAAATTGGACAAGAGAAGATTGGAAAAACGTTGCCTGGTCTGATGAGTCTCGATTTCTGCTGCGACATTCGRATGGTAGGGTCAGAATTTGGCGTCAACAACATGAAAGCATGGATCCATCCTGCCTTGTATCAACGGTTCAGGCTGGTGGTGGHGGTGTCATGGTGTGGGGAATCTTTTCTTGGCAYTCTTTGGGCCCCTTGGTACCAATTGAGCATCGTTGCAACGCCACAGCCTACCTGAGTATTGTTGCTGACCATGTCCATCCCTTTATGACCACAAAACCGTTACTAGYGTGGTGTACCTAATAAAGTGGACAGTGAGTGTATCTATTCCTATTTATCTGATTAATGATACTCCAGTAACTGAGAGGCCGGTGCTGGCAAATGAGAAGATTATTCAATTGCTTTAGCAATGGAGAGACTAGCAACTAACGTGGATAAGCTGGCGTTAGCACTGGAGATGCTAGGGACTAGCATGCCTAAGATGCTCACCTACTTTATTAGACACAAACTTTTTAGAATAAAGAAAACTTTCTCAACAAAAATGGTTTGACATACAAAACCCCATCATCAACATGCACTGATATACGGAAGCATAGAGCTGTCACAAGACATGAAATTATTTTTAAACTGGATCTCGTTCTAACGAGAAAACTCTCGTAAAAACGAGAAAATATGTCGTCATAACAACAAAAATATCTCGTTATAATGAGAAAACTATCTTGTAAAAACGAGAAAACTATCTTGTTATATCAAGATAACCATCTCGTCATAACGTATTATGGTTTCTTCTGGTTTGTCACTTTCATGGAAGTTTATTGCCTGGAAGGCGTGATGGAGAACATGACTGAGCCACTATAAGACTTTTTAAGAAGACGAAATCTGCAAGAGGAACACATTTCTAGACTAAAACATGACAAAGTAAGTTAGTACTGAATAATGTTTTTGAAATAATAGCTTCTGGATTCAGATTAGAGAGTGCATATTGCTGAAGAAGTGCTACTAGCTGCAACGTCTGAGCACAAATCCAAATAATATGCATTCTGTTTGTTTTTGTTTACTGTATATAGTGGCTCAGTCGTGTTCTCCATCACGCCATCCAGGCAATAAACGTCTGTGAAAGTGACAAACCAGAAGAAACCATAACACGTTATAACGAGATGGTTATCGTGATATAACAAGACARTTTTCTCGTTTGTACAAGATAGTTTTCTCATTATAACGAGATATTTTTGTCTTTATAATGACATATTTTCTCATTTTTACAAGACAGTTTTCTTGTTATAATGAGATCCAGTTTAAAATAATTTCATTCGTGTGACAGCTCTATGCTTCYGTACTGACAGGTGTTCCTTAGACAGATTTTACTGGTGAACATGATGTCAAGCATAAATATTAAACATAAAACATATAACTGTGAAGCAGACAGTTTTAGTTACCACATGAATTGGCAGCTGTGTTTGCCCTTGTCTATTGGTCGACAGCGATATATTTTTCTCTCTCTCTCTCTCTCTTTAGTCAAGTTATGAGAAAAGCAAGAGCTATCAAGTTGGGTTTTTTTAGAGAAAGTTTAGTTTATAAAGTTTTCTTTTATTCAAAAAAGTTTGTCTAGTAAAGTGAGCATGCTAGTTGCTAGCCTCTCCAATGCTAAYGCCAGCTTATCCATGCYAGTCGCTAGCCTCTCRGATGCTAACMCAAATGAATAGTCTTCTTCTCATTTGCCAGCTGCGTGTCAGTTAGCGGTGCCGGCCTGTCAATAATCAGACCAATAGCTGGCTCAGGAATAGATATAGCCTCCTGCTAAAAAGATGTARCAACYGCTGSCTGTGCAATAGTCTTAATTTTGGCCCTCATATTGTGCCATAATAGTGGACATTTATACCCAGACACCTGAAAAAAGGCTGTTCTGTTCCTGGTTTAATAGTCTTTAAAGAAGAAAAGTCTTAATGTCAGAACCCAGCAGTGCTGAAAAGGTCACTATTAAAATGATAGTTCAGTTTTATTTCCATATTCCCAAAGTGCTYGTGTCTGTGTGGATGTGTGTTTGTGTGTGTTGAGCTCTGGTGCTCAGAGACCCAATGTACATTTCACACACTGCCCCAGCATCCAATGCCCTTTAATGAATAATGCTAAGTACTTTAATTTGATTTGAGATGAGTCAAATTAATAACACACGTGTTAATTTGCAGTTTAGCCTCTGGGCGTAGCATCATTATATCTGATCTGAGAGTTCTTTCTCCATTCAGTTCAAATTGCTTCCCTTCTACGTCTCGTTTCATTTTCCAGCTCTCAGGTGAAATTAAATCCAAACAGACAAATGTGGCAGTGTGTTTTGGCTTAATTGTGAAGTGTGTTTCTCTAATTTACTTCCCATTTTCTTCCAGTTGATTATAATTAGTCTCTTTTCTTTTCTCAGGCATCCTCCTGGGCATGCATTCTTTGACCCCAACGATTTCCTAGAGGGAATGCAACAGGACATAGAGCGTGAGGGGCTGGAATATGAGGTAAATCATCTTAGTTTGACTAATTTCATGACTAGTTTCTAAAATAAAATGGTTTAGGACAGGTGTGGACCTGACATCACGCGTATGTCTCCAAGTCTAGTAGTCAGCGTTAACTACTAGAACTACAATAAATCCAACCTTTGTCCTCCATACAAACACTAGATCTACACCCAGACTTGAATACAGGGGCTGTTTTTTTTTTACCCTAGCAGATGCACAACGGAGACATCATTCATTACGTTTTAATGACAGGGATTAAAATGTAGTCTTCTTCTGTTGCTCAGTGGAGAAGAGGCCCAGTAGATAATTAGATGGCACAGATAATAGGGCAACAGTGATGGATCTGATGATGCTAACAATGGCTGGATGAAGCTATGATAYAAATGCTGTGGTTCCACCTTCATTGACCTCCACTGACCCTGATACCCCCCGTTAATAAACCTCTCTATTGTCTGGTATTAACACCAACGGAGGAACTGTGAATGATTCCCAGTGATTCACTGATTCAGCCATTCATTTTGACTCGCCTTTGGCAGAGCCCCAGACTTGCTTCCTTTTTTACTTGATTTTTTTAATTCCAAAATATCACATTTCTTTCTAATGTAAGTTAGCTAGGGTGTATGTTAAAAAAAAACATGCTTTCTGTGCTACACACAGGCACTCAACTTAAAATATACGTGTTTCAGATAATTACCATGAACCACCCACAAACACGTGTGTAGTTCAAATGAATGATTTTTTTACTTGAACTATGAAGGTGAGAGCAGAAAGGTGAGGCTCAGGAAAGCTTATTGGGTTTGTGGTGCTGYAGCCACATCCAAACTAACCTCAGAGTCTTTGATTAGTTTTCCTGGTTTGAAGAGGAACATCTGACTTTCTGATGTTCCTTTTGGGATTCAGTCTGTTTCATATCATGTCTGTTCACTATTAAGTCATAATGTTTAAATACATTCAACTTGGTTTGATACTAAAGCAGTCTAACCAAGAAATCATATGGTGGGATACAATCACATGACTCTGTAAATACAATAATAGAGTAGCTCTTGACATTTCATTTATATCAGCCATATCATACCAATGTCAAATTGTCATAAAGATATTTTTGTCATGGTTATGTCAAGTTGTCATAACCAAGACATTTTAAACAATGTTAACTTTGCATTAAATGTGGCATAATTTACTGAATTCTTGTGAGGCACATAGTCATTTTCAAGTTGATTTGTTTGTTTGAAAATTTATAAGAAATTCAACTCAGAAAATTTCCACTAAAAAGGCTAAACCAGGGGTGGGCAATCCTGGTCCTCGAGGGCCGCAGCCCTACAGGTTTTATGTTTTTCCCTGGTCCAACACACCTGATTCAGACATTAAATTAC